TCAGTATATAAATATTTTAAATATTATATATAATATATACATGAATATTTATATAACATATATAATAATATATATACAATAATATATATACAAACATATATAAATATATAAATATATAAATCAAAAATAAATATTTTAATTATAAATATTAAAAATATTCAAACGTATAAAAATATATATTTAAAAAATTAAATATTCTGTTTAAAAAATATCACTGATATTAAATGTTTACAATAATGAAATATGGAATATTATTAATGATATATAATATATCAAGTAAAATATTTTTCATTACTTATTCAATTACTAATTCAAATCACATTTCTGATTTTATAAAAAGTAATAAAATAAAAAAGCGATTCTTCTTTTAAGAAGAAAGAATTTTATTTAGAATGATTTCATCGATCCATCACATGACTAGAATTTCTTATTGTTATTAACTTGGCAAATGAATGCAATTGTAGATGATCGAACGTTACAAACGTGCAATCATTAGGATGTTAGATGATCATAGTCTTATTCGAATATATTACATTCTTGCGACATTAATACCTTTCACGTGATTAAATATGAAAATGAGATTATGAATTTCGAATATTTTCTTGAAAATATAAAAAAGAGAAAGAAAAAAAAAAAATAAAAAATGGCTAAAATTGTTTTTTTTTAAATTTTTAAATAAAAATAATAAAATTAACTCAAAAGATTAAATGATTTACCAAATATATTGATAAAATATTTGAACTGTAATATCTTGTATAGAAAAACTTATACAATTGCATTAATTGAATAATATTTTTTATTAATTATATAAACGAATAAATAAATAAAAAACAATTGTCATTTTTCATCCTATCGGCGAATTTAATCTATTTAATTAGATAATGAAAATTAAATAAGTTTAGATTTGATATAGATTATTTTTAATTCCAAGTATTAAGCCTAAATGAAACAATAATAAGTAACTTTCTGTTAATGTTATGTTTCTTGAGAAAGGTACTAATAATTGTTTCTGCATATTTCTTCATATAAAAAAATTATTGCTTGAGATAAATGTCAAAGAAAAATAGGAAACATACGTTAATACATCACAACAAATGCCATTTCAGTTTATGTCAGCTAAGCAAAATTATGCCTTAAAATCGAATATAATCTTGAAAATCAAAATGTTTTTTGCATATATATTGCTTCAATTTGTTCTATTGGAATACTTTGGAATATGCAATAACGATAATCAATTGCATAGAATATTTACTTCAACGAATGGTTTTAAGTTTTATACAAATTTTTTGATAGTGAGATATATCTTCCTAGTGAGTGATCTCTTAAGTTAGTAGTAATCTCTTAGTTAAGGTACACATGAATAAGAATAGAGATTAACATGGAGAAAATGAATTATGTATTCTCAAAGCAAATTCTTGGGTAAAAAAAAAAATATATGACACTGTAACTTTCATAGCTATTAATTATATTATCTTTGAAATAGATTCAGAATAAAAATTATTTAGATTTTTAATTATTTTTTAAATTATTTATAAAGATAACGCATTATAATTTTCATTACTGTTAATTACATTATTTTTTAAATAAATTCAAAATAAAGATTATTTAAAAAGACATTAAGATTATTTAAAAAATTTAATAAATTTCTACATATCACTAGATATAATAGATTAAAATAGATTAAAATAGATTAAAATAAAATTAAAAAAAAAAATTATAAGATTAGATCGATTAAATAAACTTATAAGATTAATCTTATATAATATTATATAATGGAATAATTTAAAAAATTTATGAAAAAACAAAAATAAAAATAAAAAGCAATTATTATATTGAAATTATTATATATATTTACATTAGAATTAATTACAATATTTATAAAAATAAAAATCCAAATAAACATAGCTAAAAAAGATGTAAAATGCTATAAATATTAAAAAAAAATTTTAAAAATTGAAAAATATTTTTATAAATATTATAAAATTTATTAAAAAAGAATATGTAAAATAAAATCTTTTTGTAAATAAAAATTATTGTGATAAATATATTATTTAGAATAAATATATTATATAGAATAAATATATTATTTAGAATAAATATATTATTTAGAATAAATATATTATTTAGAATAAA